GAGGGCAAGGAGATGCGTCTGAGGCTTGTGCATGCCCAGCACTGTACTAGCAATTTTACCCATGTGACCTCTGTCCTTTAACAGTGAGGGCACGTCGGGGGGCAAGTCAGGGAATCTGGCAGACCCTCAGGAGCGAGCCAGGGTCAAGATCCCTCAGGGAAGAGAAATTTCCGGTGCTGGAGTTTGGGGTATTGCTCCCTGGAGACGGCGCCTCTGGGGAGCACCCCGGAAGGGAGAAACGTATGCCAGGTGGCAGCGTCTGCACCAGCTTTGCTGTCAGTGGGTCTTGTTGACCTGGAACCCCAAGGAGGGGGGTGGCTTCTGACGAGAACCACCTCCCTGCCATGGCGGTGCTTGAGCCAGGGCTTTCCCTCACCGTGGGCGTCCCCTTCCCTCACGACCTTCCCCCTTTCCTTGCTGCAGTACGACGATGGCAGCGGAATGAAGCGAGAGGCCACCGCGGACGACCTGATCAAGGTTGTGGAGGAGCTGACGCGGATCCATTAGCCAAGGGCAGGGACCCCTCTCCCAGACCCTCCCCGAAGGCTTTGCCCTCCTGCCTCCCCTCCCCCACCACTGTCTTCTCGGCCGTGGGAACCTTCCCTGAGCCAACTGCCCCAGAGCCCACAGTCACCTGTGTGGGAATGGGGATTTCTTAGAACTAAAACCAGTTCACTGGAGACCTGGGAATGGGCTGAAGGTGAAATATTTTCTCCCTGGATTTTTACCAGTCTCACATGATTCCAACCATCACCTTGGGCCACCAAACCTTGATTGGTGTCGCCAGTAGTCCTCCTTCCAGGGGGGGATTTTGCAGCTCTTTGGCTGAAAGGAAGCTCTGTGCGTGTGTCTCACACTCATGCATTGTCCTCTACTATCTTTTTATGTAGGTTGGGGGTGTGGGGAGGTTTTGGGTGGAAGGGAAGAGGGGTGGGAAGGGTTCATTGTCTTTGAGAGCTTCCTTTATTTTGTTGTTGCCTCTGAGGGCTTTGGGTCTGGAGGCGTGACCACCAGGCTATGGGCTGCTTGAGCATAAGACCTGGAGATGGTGGATGATCCCCAAGCCACATCCTTTTTGTCTCTGGGGAACTGCCTTCTTCAGAGAGCAGGAGGTGGGTGGGTGTGAATTGGTGGTTAGTTTCTGAGTTTTACCAAATAAAGTAGAATCTAAGAAGAAAGATCTGTTTGTCTCTGCTTTTCTTCCCGCTGCCCGGCACTCTAGCATCCTGGCCGTACTGTGCCCAGTTTCCTGCAGACTCATTTCCCTCTTTCGCGGCAGCTGCTGCAGTCACTCGTCCTTGCTGCTGGAACAAGTCCTCTCAAGTAGTGAGATGACATCTGTACTTCTTTGCCACGCGAGTGTTTTTGGTGGGATCCCAAGGGTGGTGGGTGTCAGGTTTTTGGAATCCCGTGGTCTTTGCTCACTCTTGACTCAAGGCTAACGTTTGATTCCCAGTTGCCTCTGTTTGTAACCTGCCCGGGGGTTGCTCGGGCTGCCTTTCCTGATGTCATTTTACAGCCAGATGCAACTTCCTGCCAGCCAGTCCCCAGGCACTGCTCCTTGGCCAGGCAAGTAGCTGCTCATACACCTCCCTGCTTCCTGTTATCACATGCCCTTCGGATTCTGGTTTTATTTCCTCTGGTTTTAATCAAGTAAACCTTTGGTGCCTTTGGTTTGAAAATAGAAGAGTAGGGCACATTTGGGGTTCACCTTTCTGTCTAGCAAACAGAGCCTGGCTTCTTTCAGCTCAGTGGGTCATAGTGTCTGGGCCCACGTTTCCACCAGTGACCCGGTGGGAATAAAGGCTGCTCTGTCCCAGCCATGGAGTCGGGTTGATCCCAGGCATATTGGCTGGCTCCTTTAAGACCAGCCTTTGATACAGTGTCAGGAAAGTTGTGGTTTCAAGTTCAAACTGTGGTTTTGAGAGATTCTAGCTTAAAAGGAAAAGGGCAAAGAAGCATCTCTGCTTTGGGGGTCTTCTGGAGTGAGTTTCCTTCCCTAGAGGCAGTCCTTGTGTTTCATTACCATTCTTTCTCTCTTACTCTCCTGGGATTTCTGAGGGTGGGGGATAAAGGTCTTAAGGGAAAATAATAATCAGCATCTCAAACACCACAGTTTGAACTTGAAACTGGACACTGTGATTTGAATTCTTTTAAGTCATGGTTTGAATTGAAAAAGCCTATCCCCATGCCAGACACCAGCATTAATGAGGCAGGCAAGCAAAGGTCTCCAGATCGTGATCATTTAAAAATCTTAATCTTAGATGGGAGAATGGACTATAAGGTGCCAAGGTCAGAAAGACGGATGTAATGTGATGTATTCGGGTGCATTGTCGTGGTCTGACCTGCAGCCACGGAGACCTACATCGAGTAGAGAAGGTGATTACATATCAGTGGCTTCAGTCTTGACTTTGGAATTCGTGGAGTCCTTAGAGTTTTTGTTTGCTTCAATCTTGGGTCTATTCGTTCAGGATTGAATTCCAGCAGTCTTTTTGGAAACTGACATTCTGCTGCCACACTCCCACACTCTCCCCTTAAAAACCATTAATCACCACTCCAGGGGTGAAAGGTTGCCTGTGGGCCTTTGCTACAGCCAGCTGGAAGGGCTTCTTCTCGTGTAAGTGCTGATGAGCTCGCCTTCCTCCAGGCCTCCTCACGAATGGACCTTTGGGAGAATAATAGAAACTCTGACTCATCACATGACCGTTTGGAAGGGTCACAAGCCAGAGGCCTTCTTTCTTCAGCCAACAACAACTTAGATCCTCCCCCTCGGTGGAGGGTCCCTTTTGTTGCTCAAGCCACAAGCCACAGAAGTGGGGAGGAATTCCTGAAGAACTGTAGCTAAGGGATGTGCCCAAACTCGTCTTTGAAGATGACTGATATTAAGTTAGAGACTCTCAGGGTCCAAACTTTGAGCCTCAGGTCAAACAAACCAAAGGATAAGATAAAGAACATAGTGAAAAACAAACTAAAAAAACAGTGTTAAGAGGAGCAAGATGATTGCCATAAGGTCAGAAACTGGGAAATGAAAGAAATGTCGGGCGCTGTTTACAAAGTTGTTTCGAAATGCTCAGGAATTTACAATGTCTTAAAAACCCTGAGCTCCTCCTGAGGGTGGATGAGGATTTTGTTTAAGCACTAAGTTGCATCTCAGCTATTCATTGGCCAATATGGAGCAGACCCTGTCAGGTTCAGGGCAGCCCTGGAGGATGGAAGGGTGGGACTACATGAAGCAGTAGAGCTCTCAGGTGTGCGGGAGTGTGGGAGGAGCTGGCATGAGGTGTGACAGGTGTGTAAAAGGAACCGTGTCCTGTGTAAATGAGAATCTGTGGGTAGCTTCTGGGGCTGAGGAGAAGGAGCACCTATTTGACATTGAGTGGTGGTCTAGGTAGGACTGATAAGGGCGATAGAGAAGGGAGGGCTTTATGTTTACCCCTGTTGAATAATTCAGGGCTAGATTCGTGACTGTGGACCGTGAGGCAGCAGGGAGGGATGCCGTGTGAGCAGTAGAGGGAGAGAGTACACCTTCAGATGTTTGAGATAAAAAGGAAAGATGGCCTAAGATTCTGAGGGACCTTTGGACTCAGAATGGACAAAAATATGGAAGCTGCATTCATCGTAGGATATGGACTATTTGGCAACCTACTTGCTGAGAATTTGTTGCTGAGCGTAGAAGATGGATCAAAGCTAACCCGGTGACAGAACCAGCCTACATTTGAACATCTGCAAAAACAACCACACAGGTTTCAGGTAGGGACATCAGCTTAGCTTGTGTTTAATAAGCAACAATGTAAAAACATGATAACGAAAACACCTGAGGTTTTCCTTTCATGTAAACTGTTAGGAACTAGCAGCAGCATGGGGTTGCCCCCCAAGCCAAGCGATGTTAGGCCATGCTAACGAAAGTATGGTGTCTGGAACAAAGGAAGCAAGAGTCCAGGCCACTGTTGGGACACCATGTTCATTTGTGGCCACCAGTGTTAAGGATCTCAGTGACAGGCTGAGGTAGCCAGTGGGAAGGCAACTGCAGAGGCAGGACCAATCGAACTGGGGTTATTTAGGTGGGAAGTAAAAATACTTTCTGTAATTATTCAACACGGAATTGGTCTCCCTTCTGACAGGTAGTGAGTTCCTTATGCCTGGAAGTATTTAAGCAAATCCTGACTAATTGGGTCCTCATGGTGGGGAGGATAACCCAACAGCGCAGAAGGGAGAATTTCAGCTTTCTGGTCATCCTCGCAGATTTCTCCCAGCTGAATGATCCTGACCATCCACCACCTGCTCCCCCTTCTCTGCCTACCTCTCCGGCTGTGGCCTGGGGCAGCTGCAGAAAGGAGCAAAGAGGAGTCTATGGGTTCACGATGGCTTAGTAATTCCTGCCCAGGGAGCAGGTGGACCCACTGACTGGCACATTCAGGGGTAGGGTGCAGACCTGCTGGCAGGCTGGACGCCGGCCTAGAACTGCCCAGCAGCGAAAGGACCCAGAGTCCTGGGCATGGATTTCCACGCTTCCCATCTTCTGATGACACGGGACTTTGGGCTCCACCGAGACCAGCAACGCCCGGGACGCACGCCTTCAGCACCAGCCTTGTTCCCGAAGTCTCTTTTCTCTCTGGGCCTCAGTCTGACGCCCACAGGACTTCTCTGGGAGCCGACTCCCAAACCCAGGCAAGGGGTGTGGGCCGAGGGCGAAACCCCGCCCCCAGGGGTCCCTGATCTTTGACCCTGACCAGGGCTCCACGGCCACCCCTGGGCGGGCAGCGCTGCCTTTTGTGTCTTGCTTTGAGGTACGGGAGACCCCCAGCCCTGTGCTGCGTCCCCTCGCGGCCCCCCGCCCCTCCTCTCGGCGTCCGCAGCCCCCCTGCTCGGCTCCGCGTGCCAGCTCGGGGCTCGCTGGTTCGCTCCCCGTGGCGCCAGGAGGAGGGGCGAGGGCCGGCAGCCCCCTCCCCCGCGCGCCTCGCCGGAGACCAGCGAGCCGGGGGGACGCGCCGCCGCCGGTCATGTGGGCCGGACTGCTCCTCCGGGTCGCCTGCGTTGTACTCCTGCTGCTCGGGGTCCTGGCCCGCGGCTACACCGGGAGGAAGCCGCCCGGGCACTTTGCAACCGAGAGGTAAGCGCCCCGCACCCCTCCCCTGCCCCGCGGCGGGGGCACTCCCAGCGCGGAGCGGGAAGGCGCGGAGGGGCGCCGGGAGCCACTGGCAGCCGCGGATCCGGGCTCCGCTCTGGGGCTCTGTCCGCGCGCGGGCGCAGCCCAGGGGTCCGTCCAGACAAAGAGACAGCAGCTTGTGCCTCTGCACGGTTGCCGGTTCTGCGCCCTTCTCGGGGGGCTGCCCTGGCTGGGTCCGCGGGGGCACGGAGATCCAGGCGGTGGGCGAGCCCTTCTGAGTCTGCCCTGGAGCGTGGACCTGGGGCGAGGGGAGCCTGGGACGTGCCACCTGGTCTCCAGACTGGCTGGCTTCACTTGCGAACGTGCCAGTGGCTCTGCCTTGGCAGGCCCTGGCCCCCTGCGGCGCCGGCCCGTTCGGGGCACGGGGCTTTTTCCGTGTCTAGGCTACGCGCACCCTGTGGACCTTGGAACTGCTGGGGTCTCGGGTTATGTTTCGGTTTCCGCCTGTGTGCTCCCCCGCGGGCGGGGGTGGGGTGTTTGTCCCTTTGCTCTTTCCCGATTGATGCCGCCCTCCCCTCGGGTCGCCTCCTGGAGGAGGCCCGGCGGCCACGGGCCGAGCGCGTGTGTGCGTGATGCTCTGAGCGAGGGAACACGGTGTCAGCCGCCGGCCTGGCCCACGGCCACCGCCTCGCGGGGCGCGCAGGGGGCGGCCCCACCAGGCTCGCGGCTCGCACGTGTGTGTTCTGCCACTACCGCCAGTTCCTGCTCCAATCGGGCCAGCTCCACGGAGTTCCAGAGCCTTCCTGCCACCTGTCTCCTGGTCAGGGCCCGCCCTAGGAGGCTCCTTGGGGCGCTTGGCCCCGGCCCACCTGAAAGTGTGTCTCTGCTAGGCTCCATGGCATCTTAACATCTGCCACTTCGGTGGCCTCCCAGTCCCTTTCACATCCTGGTCTGAGGAGCTGGAGCTGCCGGCTCCTCCTTCCTAAGCTGCTTGCTGCTTGCTGCCTTAATCGCTCCTGCGGGGGAAGTGGCTGAGACACCACTACCAGTTCCATCCCCTCCCCCCAGGGCCCCCTCTTTTTCTGTGAGACTTCAGAGAGCAAACAGGCCCTTTGGGGACACCAGGGTCTGTTTTCTGCAGACGTTTCTGCACGACCCTGTGCCCTGAGCTTCCCTTTTCAGACTACTTGTCACCTTTCACAGGGATTATTCTCCCCAGGAGTGGCGTGGGTCTGTCTTGTCCACCCATGTCCCCAGCCCTGCTGCTGGGTCTGGCACATCGTGGGTGTTCCAGGACTGCTTGCCAGGTAGAGCATCCCCGTCAGCCTCTGGAGCACAGGTCGGGTGGGGTTCTCATCCCTATTCTGTTGCACAGGATTCCTAGTGAAACCAGACTGGACCGCATCACCCTCTGCCCGGCCCATCACAGAACCAGTTGCACTCATTGTCTCTGTCCCCCTCCAGGCCTGTGCCCTGTGCTCCCTCTGCCTGGAGCACCTTCTCCCCTCCTGCGCTCCTACCCGCTGCCCCTATGCCTCTCCTCTGCCTCAGCCTAGATGCTGTCCTTCCAGGAAGCCTCCTCTGACCCTCTTTGGGGCATCACAGTCAGTTCCATTGTGGCACTCGTCACAGTACGTTGTTATCACCTGGTTCTTTGTCTGCCCAGAGTCCCTGAAGGTGGGGAAGTGGCTTACTCACTGGCATAACCACCCTCACCCCAGAGATGTCACCTGGGGAATGATGTCTGTCCAGCCCCTCTGGGGCTGCCGTCCCCCTTCCTCTTCTGCTGGCTTCCTGTCTCAATTTTCCCCTCAACAGCCATTTATTGAGCACCTACTATGTGTTAGGCACCGCCCTTGGTGAGGAGGTGAACAAAAAAGATGAAACCTTTTCTCCTCGAGGACTGATAGCGGAGAGGGACAATGAACAAATCAACAAATTAATAAGTAGTGTCCCAGGAAGCAGATGTCATTAAGAAAAATAAAGCAAGGCGAGAGTGGACAGGAGGGGCTTCTCCACAAAGGTGACATGAGCAGAGAGACCTGGGTAAAAGGAGAGAATGAGCTAGGAGAGTGTCTGAGGAAGACCTTTCCTGAGAGTGGGAACTGCAGGTGCAAAGGCCCCGAGGCAGCCATCCCTGGGGCTCCTCATCCATTGCCGTGTTTCTTCCTCAGCGCTGAGGCCCCAGCCCCAATCTCCTGGCCACTCTTTGCTCTGTGTTCATGTGGCAGGTATCTGTAGGACACTGGTGTCCTGATCTCTGTCCTGCTTTCAGGAGAAGCTGTCAGGATCGTTTTTCTTTGGAAACTTCCCATTGCCCCTCCAGAGGGTCTCAAAAACCGTTTGTCGATCGACTTCCTGACTGGCTGGGAGGCTTGCACTGCTCTGTGGACCAATCAGAACGTGGACAGTGCTCTCTCCTCTCTTGCAGACGCCGGCTGGGCCCGCACGTCTGCCTCTCGGGGTTCGGGAGTGGCTGCTGCCCTGGCTGGGCGCCCTCCATGGGCAGCGGGCACTGCACCCTTCGTAAGTGCCTGTCCTTGTGTCCCAAACATCCTCCCCAGCAGGGTGCTCATTCCCTGGGCTGGTCTGAGGGGGCCCCAGCCCCCACTCCCTCACTGCATCTCTCCTCTCAGCCCTCTGCTCGTTTGGCTGCGGGAGTGGCATCTGTATCGCTCCCAACATCTGTTCCTGCCAGGATGGAGAGCAAGGGGCCACCTGCCCAGGTAACTGGGGTGGGCAATGGCTGATGGGAAGAACTCTGCTAACACTGGGATTATGTGTCATGCACCAGGCACGTGTGTCCTAAGCACATCGTCTTCAAACAACCCCGTTAGGCAGACATTCTCATTCTCATTTTATGGGTGAGGAAACTGAGGTACAGAAGTTAGTGGCTCGCCCAGGGTGACACGGCTAGTAAGTGGTAGAGCTGGATGGAAACTCAGGCCCGTGTGCCTCCAGAGGCACCTTCCCCACAGAATTCAGGAGGCGCCCCAGTGAGGACGGGCGGCCGAGACTCAGGCATGGTACATGCTCACATGCTCGCTGCCCGTTTCAGAAGCCCATGGACCCTGCGGGGAGTATGGCTGTGACCTTACCTGTAACCATGGTGGCTGTCAGGAGGTGGCCCGAGTGTGTCCCGTGGGCTTCTCGATGACAGAGACAGCTGTCGGCATCAGGTGTACCGGTGAGAGACCTGGGAGCAGTGGGGGAGGGGCGGGCGAGAATCGTGTCCCCCTTCCTGTCCTGCCAGGATGGACGAGCAGAGCCAGGACAAGCTCTGCAGTTGGAGAGAGGGCAGGGAGGCATGCGGACCCAAGGGATGCGTCTTCTGCCGTTTCACAAATATGTAGACAGCACCGCTTCTGGGCCAGGAACTGAGCTGGGGGTGGGGTGCGGGGTGTGAGTGGGGCGAGACAGTAACAGTAGCACGTGATGGGACCGGAACTGTTGAAGTGCAAGGTGGGACCGGAAGGAGAGGGGACCGTGGAAGAGTCCCTTGGGAAAGTGACGTAGGAAAGACGAGGAAAGCAAAACTCAAGAACTGCTTTGTAAAGGTATCGTTTGTTCGTGATTTTAAAAAAATTCCCGCGGGGTGAGCCTGTTACGTGTTCCGCAGAGGTAGCCACCGTGACTGGTTTCTTGCATATGTTTCCCGAGAGCTGAAACCCCCTCTTTGAGGTTCCATGTTATAAAAGTCACGTTTTGTCCCTTGCATGCAAAAGTAAAAGATAACTCATTTTGGAACATTTGGAAAATAAAAGAAGGATAGAAAGGTGGCCGAAAACCCAGCGTGTCCTGAAGGCTCTACCCGGAGGTATTGGTTACAAAAACGAAGTTATTTTTTCTGCCTTTTTCCTTGGGTGCACATGTTCGGGGGTGTGTACCTGTGTGCCTATGTGTGGTAAGCACGCATATCTTTATGTTGTGTAAAACTGGAATTATACTTTATAGTTTTCATGATTTTTCTCACTAAACTTTATATTGTTAGCACGAAATAGTCCTTACGACATAATTTTTAACAGTTGTGTATGTGGCTACTGTAATTTCAGTGCCACTGTCAGTAATGCTGCCGTAAAGGGCTTCCTGTCAGCATCTCTGATTACTCCCAGGAGGAGAACCCTTGGGTCCAACAGCTCATGAAAGCTTTCGTGCTCCAGGCTCATCGAAGCCATCCGCCCTCCCCTGTCTTCCATGGGGAGTACTTTACCCACACACTTCTTGTGACAGAGGCAAACCGGACCAAGGAAAAGCCAGAGAACCAAGTCAAAGCCAGCACAGGGCAGGGGGGCATGGACCACAGCCACCAGCATTCCTGGCGGGGTGGGGTTAGTCAGGGTGGGCTTCATAGAGGCTGTGGGAGAGGTCTGGAAGGGGCTGCCTGTGGGAAGAGCAAGTAAGGAGAGTGGAGGTGTTCGGCGGGCATGGGGCCCGAGGGGTGGGGGACTCGGGTGCTGACTGGAGTGGGCAGAGCTGGTCCTGTTGGTCCTCCAGAGCCTTCTTGGTTCTCAGATGAGGAAGGGGAGGCGGGGGGCGGGAAGGGCCGTTGCCCAGCCCCCTCAGCCCTCAGGCCCGAACCTCCCCGAAGCACTACTTGGATCCAGCCACCCCTCCTGGGCAGAAGCTTCGGAGACTCCTTGGAGCTCCACGCTGGAGCCTTACCCCGGCTGTCCAGCCCTGCCTCCCACTGCCCCCTCCATGCTTGCGCCAGACCCGGCCCCAGGCAGTCCCTGTGCTTCCCAGAAGCCCCTCAGACCTCCCTCCAGTCAATAGCCCCCTGCTGCCGATGCCTCCTGGCCCTCTAGCCCAGGTCTCCAGCACGCTGCCGCTGCTGCGGCCGGGCGTTCCCTGGCAGGGCGCATATCACCCAGCCACGTGTGGTCTCTCATGGGTGTGGGTCGTGGCTCCTACGTTATCAGCCTACGACCGTCTGGAGAGTCAGCGCCATGTCCTAGTCACAGCTGTGTCTTCGACAACTCCCTTCAGGTCTGCTGCTCACGAGTAGCAACATCGTGAAACATCGAAGGGGGTTAATCAGCCTTCCTACCCACGCCCCTCTGCTCTCGAGTGGGGTCACCGGCAGGGGCTCTGTCTCAGTCATCCTCTCCATCATCTGGTCTGCGGGGCTCAAACGAGGGGGGCCTGGTCCCTCGGCCTCTTCTTTCTGGGGCTTCCCGCACAGCAGGATGACTTTCCCAGTGCTTGGTCTTTCTTCCCGGGATGGGGTAGGGGCGCGGGGTCCCCGTGGAGTAGATTTTCTCCCTACACCCCAACCACTTTCAGTGTGGGTGGTACAAGGGTGTTTTCTCTCCTCCCAGATATTGACGAATGTTTGAGCTCCTCTTGCGAGGGCCACTGCGTGAACACGGAAGGCGGGTTTGTGTGCGAGTGTGGACCCGGCATGCAGCTCTCCGCCGACCGCCACAGCTGCCAAGGTGAGCGGCTCAGGGCCGGGCAACACGGATGCTGCCGCTGCTCCTGCTGGGCTCTGGTGTCGACTGGGTGGCCCTGCCAGGCCCTGCTCTGCCTGTGTTTGTGCATTTCACCTTGACCACGGTCCTCTGAGGTGGACCCGTGATCTTCTCCACCTGACTGGTGGGGCAACAGGTTTGCCCAGGGCCATTCAGTTTGAATCCTGGCAGCTCTGACCCTAGGGTCTGGGCTCTGAACCAGGGCTCTCTAGGAAACTGCTGGCCATCATTGCAGGGTGGAGGGGTGGGGGCGAGGCGAGGCCCTGGGGAGAGGCGGGACCAGGGCCGGGAAGACAAATTGGAGGGAGGAACCACTGCGAAGAGGGGGCTGTGAACACAGCATGCCCAGGGGGTGTAGGAGAGGCATGCATGCTGGGGGCATTCGTTTGTTCCACCTGCCCCCATGCTGGGCCGGGCCCTGGAGACACTGGCCTCCAGCTGCCCCCAGTGGGGTGGAGAGCAGAACAAGTTTGGAACAGGGCGTGAGTGCCTCAGGGGCCAGCAGGAGAAGGGGTTTGTCCTCCTAAGTGAGCAGAATGGGAGAGAGCTTTTAAAATAATGACTCATTCTTTCAAGATGACTTATTTACAGAAGTTAGGTAAGAAAACACTCTCTCTTAAACAAGGCAGCTAAGACGAAAGTTCCTCCTTGATACTGCAATATTATTTTCTGTGCGTTTGAAATTTTCATGAATTTTGAAAAGTCTCTAGTTCCAGGCCCTCTCTCCCACTCCTGTACTCTGCTTTCCCTAGAGAATAATCCCCGTATCATAGTCAGCCCAGGCTGCTGTAACAAAATGCCACAGACTGGGCGGCTTAAACAACAGACATGTATCCTCTGTTCTGGAGGCTGGAAGTCCAAGATCAAGGTGCCAGTCCATTCAGTTCCGGGTAAGGGCCCTCTTCCTGGCTTGCACATGGCTGCTTTCCAGCTGTGTCCTCACATGACAGAGAGAACAATCTCTCTGGTGTCTCTTCTTATAAGAGCACTAATCGCATCATGAGGGCCCCACCATCCAGAACTCATCTAAACCTAATCACCTCCCCAAGGCCCACCTCCTAACGCCATCACGTTGAAATTAGGGCTTCAACATATGAACTTGGGGATCAAAATTCATCCATAGCACTTGGTTATCAATCTGCTGAGTGCCCTGCCTGCCTCTTCCCAGTACATGTACACACACACGTGTACACACACGCGCACATGCACTTGACAGAGATGATAGTAAGAGATGAGCAGCTCACAGTCCTGAACTATCGTGTCTGGGCACTGTGCTAAATGCTATAGATGCATTTTCTCATTTCCTCCTTAAAAGTATCCTATGAAGGTGGCATTATTTCCATTTCCCCAGTGGGAACACCGAGGCTTAAAGAAATGAAATAACTTGCCCAAGATCATGTTAGAGCTGGAATTTGCACCTGGCCATTCCTGGACTTGCTTTTCCCCGCTCAGTGATCTCTCTGGAAGCTGTCTCCCCACCAGGGTCAACAGATCTGTCTCGTTCCTTTTAACTGCCGCCTGATATTCTGCAAAGCAAACATCCCATAGTTCACTGACTCTTATTGATGAACATGCAGATAACATCCAGTTTTTCACAATTTCAAATTCCAGCAAGGGGAAGCTATGTCAGAAGAGGTGCTGTAGAAGCTGAGTTTTGAGGTATGAGTAGGAGTTTTTCAGTCAGACAAGGTGGGAAAGGCAGCTCAAGCAGACAAGAGGACGTGGGCTAAGCGGGAGGCCCACGGGAGCGTGGTACACTTGGGCGATGGCACGGATTTAAGCAGAGCGAAGGTGAGGGGCGAGGAAGGAGTTGGAAAAGGCAGCCCAGGGCTCGGGAACTGTGGTGCAGCACTGGTGTCTGTGGGAGCCGTGGGGGGCCGGGGGGTGATCAGAGGTGCCCTTTGGTCAGATGTCTTGGGAGCGGTGTAGAGGCTGGCTCGGGAGGAGCACAGGTAGAAGCAGTGAGGTGCATGAGGTTGTTGCTCTTCTCCAGACTAGAGTCAAAGGTGGCCCAGGCTAGGGTTGGCAGTAAGGGTGGAGAGAGTGGCTGATCCAAGGAGGACTTAGGAGTTGATACCCTGACGGTGGACAGTGAGAAAGAGAGGAGTGGCCCCCAGTGGGACAGGAGATGGCGAGGAGAGAGATAAGAGGGGACCGTATATTTCCAAGACTCTGTGAGGAGAGAGCTCCAGCCTTGTCCTGCTTCCGCCCAGACACGGATGAATGCCTCGGGACCCCCTGTCAGCAGAGATGTAAAAACAGCATTGGCAGCTACAGGTGTTCCTGTAGAACTGGCTTCCATCTGCATGGCAACCAGCACTCCTGTGTAGGTAAGGTCGGGAAGACCCTGTCGTCCTCACACTCAGGCTGCCAATCAGGAGGATGGACAGGCGAGCCCAGGGACAGGGAAAGGTCAACGGTCTGGACCTCCTGGTCCCCTGGAACCTGTACCTGCTTGAGCCCTTGCTCAGAGCCTGCCTTTTGCTGGGGTTGGCATGGCTCCCCACGAAGACCCTGGCTTTTCCTGGCCACATGCCACTTTCATCCTGTTATGCTTCTGTTCCATCCCTCTCCCAGATACACCCTAAGGATTCCCCTCTGGTCACCCACTTTCTTGGCTGCCTTGCTCCCCTGGGTAAATAAAGCACGTTATGTCTTGGTTCCTCTGGTTTAGAAGGAGACCCCTATTTTCTCAGCCCATGAGCAGAAATTTCCTGAAAGGGATTGGCACGTTTGGCTCGAGCTTGGCTCATGGGTTTGAAGGTGGGGTCCCCTGGGCCTGAAAAAAGTCTTTGTTCCAGTGGAGTGTGGCGTTTGCCTTGAAGCCTGCCTTGAGCAGTACAGTGACTTTTGAGATTCTTTTTTCAGAGGGGGCCACACCATCTGACATCCAACACAGGGGGTGGTGGAAGGTTTGAAGATGAAATTCCCAGTGGGTCTCACCCCTCCAGCCAGCACTTAATCGTTGCTGCCTGGGGCTGGGAGATACGCCACTGGTGCATCCATTACATGCCTACTGGATGTATGAATCTTACGATGGGACGAGCATAGATTTCAACCCCACTCTCAGACGTCTAAGTCACATCCCGCACCCTGGGGCAGGGATGGACCCCGTAAGAACATGGCAAGGAGACTCCCCAGCCTTTTTGGCTAAGGGATGATGGAAGAAAGGCTTGGCAGCCCCCAACGAGGCAGCTGTCGGCAGGGAGGCTCTCCTGCAGATGTAAACGAATGCCGGAGGCCGCTGGAGAGGCGCGTCTGTCACCATTCCTGCCATAACACCGTGGGCAGCTTCCTGTGCACCTGCCGACCTGGCTTCAGGCTGCGAGCAGACCGCGTGTCCTGCGAAGGTGAGCGTCCGACTCTGCCTCGACTCCCGGCCCCGCCCTCCTGGGACCGGGCCACGCCCACAGAGGCTGACCCTCTTCTTGGACCTGTGTTTGAGTCATCTTCCCAACGCCGTCCTTTCTTCCTGCCTTCCTCCTTCCACTTCTTTATCCATTCTTAACCCTTTTTCATTTCACCGTTTCCCTGGCCCTTCCGTTTATCCCCCAAATGGAAAGAGACAGTGAGGAGCGCGTGACATAGGAGTCCCAGCAACTTGGCCTTCCAGGGGTGGACGCTTTGTACGGTGGTGTGTCAGGTCATCTGTCAGGCTGTACCAGGTGCCTGTGAACACGTATAATGTCGTGTCAACACCGAAGGCGCGCTCTCTAGTCCGTAGCGAGTTCTCCGAGCGCCTCAGCAGCCCCTCCTGGGAAGCCGCGCATGCGTGGGGGGCAGGGGCCACCCTCCCAACTTGTAACCCAGTCTGCTTATTTGGTACTTTCCCATCAATCTTCTTGTGTGATCGTCTTCGCACCCCCAGTAGGTTAGGGGTACAACGGGTGGTCTTAGACCCATTATGTTGATGAAGAAACTGGCCCAGAGACATTCAGCGGCTGTGGTGACGGAGCTGAGTTCCGGTCCCCAGTTTTGCCTCCTGCCCCTGCTGCCTCCCTCAAGACACCCCTGTGCTTCCGTTTCAGCTTTCCCGAAGTCCGCGCTCGCCCCATCTGCCATCCTGCAGCCCCTGCAGCACCCGCCCAAGACGCTGCTGCTCCTTCCAGAGGCGGGCCGGCCCGCCTTCTCCCCAGGACACAGCCCTCCTTCTGGGGCTCCGGGGTTCCCAGCCAGAGTCCGGACCACCCGCCTGCCATCGCCCACCCCCACACTACTCACATCTTCCCCTTCTGCCCCAGTGAGGCTGCTGCCCACCCTGATGGCCACCCCAGTGCCCCGAGCACCCCTGTTGGGGACCGTCAAACCCTCCTCAACACTCCAGGAGAAGGCGGTGGTGACCCCTTCCTTGCCCATGGACCCCACAGTCCCACGGCTGGCACCAGGGCCCTCTGCCTGCTGGCACCTGGGAGCCATGTACGAGTTGGGGAGCCGCTGGACAGAGCCGGGGTGTTCCCAGTGCTGGTGCGAGGTGGGTGTGAGGAGTCCTCGCGCTGCCCTGCTCTGGTGTCTGGGGCCTTGTGGTGATTGGAACTCCTGCTTCTTCCAGGATGGGGAGGTGACCTGTGAAAAGGTGACGTGTGAAGCTGCTTGTTCTCACCCGATTCCCTCTGGAGATGGAGGGTGCTGCCCATCATGCACAGGTGGGAGCTGGTCCGGGGCGGGGCCGTGAGTTCCCAGTGTGGTCCCACCTCTGCCCTTCCCCAGCCCTTCTGCAGCTGAAAGGCTGTTCTCCAACTTTCCAGTACTTTTGAATCACCTGACGGTTGGGTCCCCAGGGTGGGTCCCTGCTCCTCCCGCCCCCCCCCCCCAAGCTTCTGATTTAGCTGGTGTGTGTGTGGGCAGGGCCCGGGAATTTGCATTTCTAACAAGTTCCCAGGTGATGCTGTTGGTTGCTGGTCTGGGGACCACAGTTTGAGAATTACTGGTCTATGCTATGATATCATATCTCAAGGAGAGCTTTTTGACTTCTGGGGATCCCTTTTGAGCTTCATTCATTCATCCATTTATATATTCATTCAGTGAGTTTCTCCAAATCCACTCTGTAGTCCCCTTCCCCTGGCCAGTTCCCCTCCGGCAGCCAGAGGAGTAATCATTTTGTAAATTCTGCCCCCTTTTCAATTCCCTCCCACAATCTGCTTATAGTTCTTCATTTGCCTCCCATTGCTGTTAGGATAAAGAAGACCCCACATGTTAACAGATCCTTCAGCGGTGCTCCTCAAAACTCACTGTGCACAGGCATCACCGGGGTCTTGTTGAAATGCAGATTGTCATTCAGTGGGACTAGAGAGGGGCCTAAGCTTCGGTGTTTCCATGGTGATGAGATGCCCAGGTTGCTGTACTTTGAGCAGCGGTAAAAAATCTTCCTAAGGGTTAGAATGAAAATGCACCTATTGATTTTCTGAATGATAATCGGGACCTTTTACTGTGTCAGCACTGAGCCCTGAATGTAAAATGCTGGACACTTTACATCTACAGTCGTGGATCCTTCCAAGTCCCCTTCAGGGCATTTCCATTTCACAGGAGAGACAACTGAGTCCCAGAAAGGTCGAGTGACATGTCCAAGGCCATTGAGGTAACTGAAGGAGCAGGCCAGGTTTTGAACTCATGGCTGTCTGGCTGCCTTTCCTGCCTGATGGGACTAAAATGCCACGCTACCAACCCAGTTCTGTGTTTATTGGACGTGAATGGAACCGTCCCCAGGGCAACCCATGTGGGCGTCTGGTAGTCCTTCGGGGGTCCTAGGACCACACAGTTCTGGGCATCTGGATCTGTCACTCCAGGGGCATCCCTGCCAGTAAGAGAAGGCGCCAGGTTCATCATGCCTGGAAAAGTAATGAGATCACAAGCTTCCTCTGCTTTGAAGAGTTCTGATGGCCCCTCCACTTCTGTGTGTCTTTCAAAGGCTGCTTTCACAGTGGCGTCGTACGAGCTGAAGGGGATGTGTTTTCACTTCCCACGGAGAACTGCACCATCTGTGTCTGCTTGGTGAGCATCACAGGATCTCTGAAGCCTCTTGGGTGTTTTTTTAACCTTTTGGGGATGTTAGAGGTGAGCTCCTTGAATGGAGGGAGAGAGTTCTCAGGTTGTGGATTTTGGTCGGAACCTGTCGAATTTAAAAGCCTGGGGGAAAATGTGAAACCTGCAGGTCTGTGGAGTCAGAGAGGTGTCTGTTGAGCAGAAAAGAGCCAACAGGCAAACAGGGTCCATCTGTCTAGCAAGGGGAGGGGACAAAAGTCCCTTGGAAACTTCCCACCAGGGCAGCTGTTTTTCTCTCCAGGCAAAATATTTGCCGGCACAATAAAGGTATCCACATTTGGGAGGGAGGAGGGTCATTACCAGACTCAGCTTGTTAAGAGTATTTTGCTTTAGGTAAATTCACTCCTTCAAGATTAGTTATTAAGCACCTACTATGTGCCAGACACTGCCAGAGGTGGCCACATGGATTCGATTATGAGCACCCAGTGTGTACCAGGCATGGTCTTTGGTGCATTTCACTCATCTCCTCACCTGAGGCTCCTGGCAGCTCTTCAAGGTCAGCTTTCTTGACCTTGAATGAGGCTGGGAGGGAGCGGAGCTGGGGTTTGAGCCGAGGCCTGTCTGCGTCCAAAGCCAGGGCTCTCCCTGCTATCCTGTGACCGTCTTACAAAGCAGCCCGTGGTGTGGCAGTGATGACGGAAGCTGCCATGTAAGAGGTGGGGATGGGGCATGTAGACAGCTCCTGCCACCCTTTGTTGAGGTCTTACTGGGGGCCACACATATGCAGGGGCCAAGCGCTCTCACGGACGATCTCATTTCACGTAATCCTCGGCGTCCCCTCACTGATAGGGAGACCGAGGCTCAGAGAGGTGACATCCTTTGTCCAG